ATCAGATTCTTCTTTTTCATTTCTTTTCTTTCTTTTTTATTTATTCTTTTTTTTTTTTTTTTTTTTTGAGACAGAGTCTCGCTCTGTCACCTGGGCTGGAGCGCAGTGGCGTGATCTCCGCTCACTGCAACCTCTGCCTCCCGGGTTCAAGCAATTCTCCTGCCTCAACCTCCTGAGTAACTGGGATTACAGGTGCCTGCTACCATACCTGACTAATTTTTTTTTTTTTTTTGTATTTTTAGTGGAGATGAGGTTTCACCATCTTGGCCAGGTTGGTCTCAAACTCCTGACCTCAAATGAGCCGCCCACCTCAGCCTCTCAAGGTGCTGGGATTACAGGAGTGAGTCATCGTGTCCGGCCGTTTTCATCAGGTTCTTAAAGGAGTCCCCTAATTTCTCACTGTAGGTTAAGGTAGGGGCATACCTTAAAGTTCTTAGAGAGTTGAGAAGTTACTGTGGTTGAAAGAATTTATACAAATAAAAATGTTACCTCTCTTTGTGTGTATAAATCCTGTAGGAATACAGGTTTTAGCTGTGCTCCAGTGTGTTTATTTGCTTAGAGCTGCTTCAAGGCAGGTTTCAATAAGCAGATGAAGCCATGTGCTCCACATTTTGGTCAGTATTGATTAGTTGAATGGAACTTTGCTGCATTTATTTTATTGAAACTAAGCAGTGTGATTGGAGATGCCATGACTTGAGGGAAAGACTTCTCAGAATTTGCAGTCTGAATGCACGTCATTCCCGGGCCCTTATTTTCTAAAGATTTGTCCAGGTTTATCGATAGACTCTAACTGTGCCCCTCTCTCTCAATTGTCCCATAGATTCCCTGTAAGGAGCCCCTGCTGGTGCACCAGAACTACCGGGGGCCATCTGCCCAACTGCCCCAGACTCTGGCAGTGGGGCCCCCGATGGCAGTGGGCACCTCCCTGTGAAACCTGCCAAGCTGGACGCCACAGCTCTGCACGACGACACTTTGGCCAACTCCGTGCCCCCTTCGGAGGCATGCAACCATGCAGTCCTAGCCTGCAGCCCGGGCATCCCTGAGGAACACTACATAAGCGAGGCTGTGGAAGATGCTCCCAGCTACAGAGGGTACCGGGATGCCTGCACCATTACTGGTATGGGGGTCCTTTCCCTGCCAGGGAGGAAAGGAGGGAGGTTTCAGTCACTGAGGACTAGGGAAGGAATGCAGCCACATGGGAGGGTCTCGGGGAGGTATGCAGAGAGGAACCACTAAAGTGCAAAAGACTCTGAGCTTTGGGATTGTGAGACCTCCCATCCAGAACCTGTTTGCCAGTGAACCATTTTGTAACTTGGGTCAGTTGTTGACCTGCTATCCTGACTGAGATGTAGACAGCACTTCACTGAATTGTCATGAAGGTTAAAGATGGTAACATTGAAACCTGAGCAGCAAGCATGGCTCATCACAGGCACTCAGTGTAGATTGACCCCTTCCTTCTCTCTTTGGACTCAGGTTCTTCAGATATAAAACAGATATACTGGGAATAACATGCACTGTCATTGTGGGATGCAAAAACAGAAAACTTCATGGAGTGCCCTTTGTACACCATCAGGATTTGCACAGACATGGATTTTTACAGATACCTGTGTCAGTCTTAACTCTCAGTGTCCCAGGTGGTAATCACCTCCCAGTGGGAACATCTGCTGTGCGGGCAGTTAATACTAGAGCTATTGCTTTTTTATTTTCCCCAAGGAAACACTGAGACAAGTGCTTGGAGCTGGCACAAGAGAGGGCTCTCAGTGGAAATGGTGTAGCATGGTGTACATAACAGCAGCCAGTAGCAAAATTGTAATTCAATCCAGTTGCATTCATATGGAAGTTTACTCAGTTTCTCATTTTTGTCTGCAGTGTTTGCTTTTGTTTGTCTGTTTGAAGTAATGCCTGATGACAGCTTAATATATGCCAGTTGGCTTCCAGTAGCTTCTCTTGGTTCTGTGTTACCAGTTAAGCCTTGAGGACCTCCTGTGTGTCAGGGGTTCCCTGGATACAGAAAGGCACAGAGAAGGCTGGGGGTCCCAGCCTGGTGCCTAGCTCCTCCTGTGTTAGGCCCCCAAACACCTCCTCTCCCTTTTTGTCAAGTGGCCTACACGAGTTGTCCTCCACTTGTGACTGAGTCCCTCTCCCGCTTGCCTGCCCTCTGAAGGACACAGTTCCGATATCTCCTTTTCCTCTACTGCATCATTCTTTTCGCCTTGCACTTGGATCTTTCTTTTTAGTGCAGAAACATGCTATGATCTCCCTCTTCGGAAATAGACTCCTTCTCAGTCCCATGTTTCCCGCAGGCCAGTGTCTCTGCTCTACGTTTTGCTTACTCTAGTTTTTCCTTTGTTCTCTCTGGAGTCCACTGCAGGCAGGCTTATGCCCCACCACACAGACAACCTGGTTCAGTCCAGTCTGTCCTCTGCCTTCACCTTACCTCACTTTTCAGCGGTAGTTCACACTGTTGCTAAGTCCTGTCTCCTGGAAGTACAGTCTTTACTTGGCTTCTGGGTCCCCACACTCTCCCTGTTCTTCTGCCTCAGTGGCTGCATTTCCTCTTCTCCCAAGCCTGGGAACGTTGAAGGGCCCAGGGCCCAACCTTTCCGCCGCTTTGCTCTTATGTGCGCACCCATGCAGCGCATGATCTCACCCAGCACGTAGGTTTTAAAATCTCCTTCTGTACTGGCCACTCGCTGGTTTCTGTACTCAACCTGGACCTTTCTCCTTAAGGCCAGACGTCTCAGACTGACTCCACGTGAGTTTCCAGTTAGATGTCCAACAGGCATGTCCAACTCAAGTGACCAAAAATGAGCTCCTGGTTTCCACCTCCACCTGCTTTTCTTAGGGTTTTCCCCATCCTTGTTAATGGTGCTTTCATTATTCTAGTGGCTCAGGCCAAGACCCTTGGAGGCATTTGTGATTCTGCCTTTCTGGGTTTCATACCCCAGGTTGTCAGGAATTCTGTTGGCTCTATCTTCAGAGTGTGTCCAGAATCTACTCAGCATTTACCATGTCCCAGCCACCCCCATCTCACACCTGGGTGACTACACTGGCCTCCCAGTGGGGCCTCCTACTGTTACCCTTGCCTCCGTAAAATTCTTTCTCCGCCCAGCCATGAGAGTTGGCTTTTAATGCAGTCAGATGGTTTAACTCTCCTCCAAACTTACAGTGAGCTCCCCTCCTATAGAGACCTGTAGGGAAGGGGCTGAATGATGGGAATCCCTCTTTGCCCCACTGACCTGCCTCCTCTGTGCCCTCTGTGCTCCAGACACACTGGCCGCCTCACTTAACCTTGAACTCACCAGGCACATCCAGCCTCAGGGTCTTTGGACTGCCTCAACTCCAGATATCCTCATGACCCCCCTCTTCCTTCTCCAAGTGACATTTTATTTGATGCTTTTTGTGACCCTCCCCCCGACAGAAAGAGTGATCTACCCCACCTTTCCCCATCTCCCTTTCCTGCTTAATTTTTTTCCCCAGACTTAACCATCCTCTGAGCTACTATATTTGTGTTTTGTCTCCCAGACTTGCAGTAGACTGTAAACTTGCAGAGGGCAAACTCTGTGTCTGCTTTGCGCACTCCTGAATCCAGTGACTACCATAGTGCCTGCCTGTGGCCAGTGCTCAGTGAACATTTGTTGGGTATATCAATTGTGTCGATTTGTGCAGTGGGTATTATTATCCTCTTTGTGTAGGTGAAGAGTCTAGATCTCGCAGTGTTCAGTGCCTTGGCGAAACTCCTGAGTGGCAGGTGTTGCATCCAGTGAAGAGTCTAGATCTCGCAGTGTTCAGCACCTTGACGGAACTCCTGAGTGGCAGGAGTTGCATCCGGGTCTGCAGGACCCCAGGGCAGGGGTTCTTTGCTGCCTAAGAATGCAGTCTAGTTGGGGAGACAGATGAGTGAGTAGAAATTGTACACCGAGGTTAGCACAGTGATAAGCACAGCACAGGAGGGCACCAAGGAGGGTGCCAGGCTGAACCTTGGCGGGGGGAAGGACAGGAGAAGACCACAAGGGCTTTGTGGAGGAGGCAATGACCCAACTGCATCTACATTTGTGCAAACACATGAATTGATCCATGGGATTCTAGTGGCGTCTGTACCAGTGAAATCCAGGAAGTATCCAGCCTGTTAAAGTGGTTTCACTTTCTCCGAACGTGACAACGGAGGGTAAAGAAATGGCAGGATGTAGTGCTGAAACTTCATGGCCGGGCGTGGTGGCTCACGTCTTAATCCCAGCACTTTGGGAGGCTGAGGTGGGCCGATCACCTGAGGTCAGGAGTTCAAGACCAGACTGGCCAACATTGTGAAAGCCCGTCTCTACTAAAAATATAAAAACTAGCCAGACGTGGTGGTGGACACCTGTGATCCCAGCTACTCGAGAGGCTGAGGCAGGAGAATTGCTTGAACCCAGGAGACAGAGGTTGCAGTGAGCCGACACAGTACCACTGCACTCTGGCCTCAGTGACAGAGTGAGACTCTGTCTCAAGAAAACAAAGCAAAACAAACAAAACAAAACAAAACAAAAAAACCCAAAAACAAAGAAATGGCAGAATGTAGTGCTGAAACTTCAAACCCTATAGGATGTGGTGACTTGAGGGTTCTTTGTTGGGACCAGAGGAAAGCTGAGAAACAGCTCAGTGCTGTTGTGTTTCGCACTGGCTTGGTAAACAGGAGTGTAAACACAGACACTCTTCTGCGTTTAAGGGATGGGCTGTCAGGTGACGGAGAACTGCTCAGTTTAAAGTTTTATTAGGCAGTCATTGAAAGGAAGACATTAAATGGAAAAAAGTTCTCCGAGAGACCTAGACTATCCCCAAGAATGCATCTGTGGCCTCCCAGGGCTTTGCCAAGTGCAGTCTCAGGACACCGCTTGGCATTCAGCCCTTGATAAATTCACTCCTCCCCCAGTTCCCAGCAAGCCCTGAGATGAACAGCAGACTTTTTGTTCCACTTTAATTTTTAGGCAAAACGGAATGCCCGTCACAAAGCCCCGTTCTCCCCTACCCCCAACCTAGAGGTATCACATTTTTGGGTGCGTCATTTTCTGTTTGGGGTGGCTTAACAAGATGAGCTGATAGGGTTCCCAGGCTTCCTGGAGTTACATAACCCATTGTGCTTCCAGGGCAACTTACAATCTTAGGATTTGCCCTAACAAGCAAACTCAGAAAACTGCTGAGGAAGGCACGGGAGGACGGCTGTGCGAGGTACTGCCGGGGCTGGGCTCTCATGGAGGCTCTCTCTGTTCTCTGAAGTGCCTTTGGAGTTTATGTCTGCACATGGCATTGGTTTTTCAATTCGGGCAGCCCGTCAGGGCTCAGCCTCTGCCAGGACTCTGCCAAGGCAAGCTCATTCGGACAAACTCCTGTGGTAAGTATGTTTGCCAGGTCTGTCTGCTGTCTGTTTTCTTTGTGGTATGGTCGGAAAGGAGAAAAGACCTCAGGAGAAGCTGTCTCTCTCTTGCTCTGTGCTGCTTGGGAGATCGTTCATGGTCATGTGGTAGAGAAATTGCCATGTTGAATGATAGGCAGAGCGAAGGGGCTTTAGAGACACAACCACTGCCCTCACCCCCCCATCTCCCGTTCCCAGGTCCCCTTGTCCCCTTGCCCAGGCTCAGTAGGTGCAAGTGATACTTGCAGGGCGTAAGCACAGGGCTGAGTTGAGACTCCCTGGGCACTCCCACTCCCTTTCCCTTCACAGTTCTCTGCAGTGGGTCAACAGGGTTTCTAAGGCGTCCTCTGCCTCTGCATCTGTGATTTCTCTAATCCTATGTCTTGTCTTTATCCTGGTTTCTTAGACACTAACCTAACACTGACACTAACCGGTCAGCAAGGAATTTTTCGGAAGGTGAAGCACAGATTTAGACTGTCTCCCTCCCTCTCTCCCCTTTCCCTTTTCTTCCACCTTCCCTTTCTTTTTTGTCCTTTACTAAATGCTTGGGCCTGGGACTCGGATCCACACCCCAGTGATGGAGGCTTGCTAATCAGATCTGCTGTGGCTTGTCTCTCTTGCTGTGGGGCTGACACCTCTCACTTCCTCTAAGCTGGTCAGAGTCTGGTGGTTGATGACCCATCTGGTTTCTGTCCTGTCTACACGCTGCTTCCGGAGAGCTGTCTGAGCCAGAAAACAGTTAATTCCTGAGAGAAGTGAGCTCCTGTTCCATTCCAGTCAGTTTTAGGCTTTAAAATGTGTAAATCTTATTGAATAAGCCTCAAGACACTTTAAACATGCATCTTACTGAGGCAATCGTATTGATTTTTGCGTGTTGAACCAGCGTGCATCCAGGGCCAGCTTTTTACTGGGGTTTATGTTAATTCCTGGGGTCAGTGAAGACTGGTCCTGCCCTCAGAGCACAGAGGTGGGCCAGGGTGTAAAGGAGAAGCTGTAAACCGAGTGAGAGTTGCCTAGGACAAATCTGCTAACAGGAGCAGTCCTGCCTGGGAGGACTCTTCATCAAAGGGCCATGGCCTAGAATTTGTTCCTTTTATTTATTTTATTTTACTGTTTTATTTTATCTCATTTTATTTTATTTTATGATTCACTGTGTTGCCCAGGCTGGTCTTGAATTCCTAGGCTCAAGTGATCCCCCTGACTTGGCCTCCCCAAGTGCTGGGATCATAGGCGTGAGCCACCATGCCTGACCCGGAAGCTGTTCCTTTTCTATCACTGATTTAAGCCATAAAACTTGATGTCTTATCCTCTGAAAACATGCTCAAATAAAACATTATGGAATTCTTACACATTTTATTAGTTAAATTTAAGGCCTTGTCAATTTCTCTCTAGTATAATTTTTATATGTGTTTTCTATTGAAAATTTATAATCTAAATGGGTCTTTTATTTGGCTATATTAATGAAACAGAAAAGAATGCACAGTGAAATATCCCTTTTACAACAGAGTGAGAAAATGTAAATTACAATCTAGGGAATAACACATATTTTCTAAATGTGTAATTTAGAAGTTTTCTTTTCTCCTCTCAGTGGAATCTCCTTTATTTCACAGTTGATTTGTTTTTGCAAATGGAATGCAGAAAGGGGCCCTGCTATGCTAATTTCTAGAGGGAGCATTTGATCTTTGCAAAACCATGGAAACATTCACCTCTGCCTTTTAAATATGCTATAAATGATTTGGGGGCCACCAGCTAATCTTCCTACCCTTCAGTTTCCCTTATGACTAGGTGAGTAGGTAGAATTTTTATCACAAGGTTTTTGCCTCAACTTTCCGAATAGCTGGGATTTCAGGCGTGCGCTACCACGTCCAGCTAATTTTTTGTATTTTTAGTAGAGACAGGATTTCGCCATGTTGCCGAGGCTGATCGCAAACTCCTGAGCTCAGGCCCACCTAGGCCTCCCAAAGTGTTAGGATTACAGGCATGAGCCACCGCGCCTGGCCAAAACAAGCTTTTCATGTATATAATATATATAATGTATCAATCTTTGTTCACTGCAAACTATTTTTGGAAGCTGGCAAATAATAAATTATAATAGAAAAAAATGACAATTGTTGGCAGAGTGGCCCGGTGTGGGCCTGGGCACCCTGTTCTTCCTGCTCAGCCAAGGGCTGTTGTAGGAACATTGACTGGGAGTGACTGAGAGGATTCAGGGTGCACCAATGCCAGGCTCAGGCTGAGCAGCTGGGTTGGCGTGTGAGTCTGGGACCCACGGCCCCAGGAGGAACTTTGGAGTCAGAAACTTCTCTGTTTTCACTGACTCCTGATCTCTCATAAACATTGAAAAACTTGAGCAAGTCAGGCTGAAACTATCGGGAGCTGAAACTTTATTTTACTTTTAGAGTCAGAGTCTTACTGTGTCACATAGGCTGGAGTGCAGTGGTGCAATGCCATCATGGTTTATTGCAATCTTGAATTCCTGGGATCAAGTGATTCTCCCACCTCCACCTCCCAAGTAGCTGCGACTACAGGCTGGAGCCACCATGCCTGGCTTTTTTTTTTTTTTTGGGGGGAGGTAGAGATGGGATCTTGCTACATTGACCAGGCTGGTCTTGAACTTCTGGCCTCAAGTGATCCTACCACCTTGGCTTCCCAAAGTATTGGGATTATAGGTGTGAGCCCCAGTGCCCAGCAAAGGTGTAACTTTATAACTAGATCTGGAAGAAATATAATTTTATAAATCCTGTTCTAGGTTTCTCCAGAGAAACAGAGCCAATAGGAGAAACATATATAGAGATTTATTACAAGGAATTGTGTTACTTGATGGTGGAGGCTGACCAGTCCAAGATGTGCAGTTGGCAAGCTGGAGCCCTGGGAGACCCAGTGGTATAGTTGCAGTCCAAGGGCTTGACAGGATTGAGGCCCAGGAACTGGTGTTCCAGTCCTGAAGACCCTGGAGGAGGGGGGGGATCTGCCTGTTTGCTCTATTCAGACCCCAGCTGATTGGATGAGGTCCCCTTCACTCACAGTAAGGAGGCATCTGTTTTACTCAGGCTACTCATTCATGCTCATCTCACCCGGAAACACTACCACAGATACATTTAGAATCATTCTTGACCAAATTTCTGGCCACCCCATGGCGCAGTGAAGGAGACACATATTATACAGTTAGCCTTCACAGATCCTAATGGTGGCTGCCATTTACTAGGAGGAGCTCTGTGCCTGGCAGGTTTCCAGGTGTGGCTCCTGGAACTCATGTTGTCCTCAGCACAGTTCTGAGGTGGGTGCTGTTACCTCCCCCACCTCTGAGGAGGCGCAGAGTAGGCAGCTTAACCTCTTGTATAAAATAGGGATCCCTGAGGTTTAGACACGGCAGCATTATTTTCTGACCCCTTCTTCATTTTTTTTCTTTTGTATTAATTTCATTTACTGTTAAATGGGGTTTTAAATTATGAAAATAATAACACATGCAAGTGGTAAAACTTGAAAGTGTACCAAAATACAGTCAGTGCAGAGCAGTTCTCACTCCACCATCAGTGCAGTTTAATGGGTAAAAAATTCATTCCAAGAAGTTTTTATGCACATACTCGTTTTCTAAAAAACACAGATGGGACCATATCCTATTCCTTGATCTGCATTTTAAGATGATTAACCATATTATTTAAAATGAATTCACATGGTATTACCTTATTCTTTAAAATAGTGACATAATATCCCATTGTTTGGCTGTATCATCATAATCATAATCATAATCATAATCATCATCATCATCATCATCATCAGTCAGTTAATTAAACCAGGCTGTGGTCTGAATATTTGTCTCCCCAAAATATGTATGTTGAAACCTAGTCAGCAGTGCAGTGGTATTAGGAGGTGGGGCCTCTGGGAGGTGGTTAGGTCACAGGGGCAGAGCCCTGATGAGTGGATTAGTCCTTATAAAAGAGGTTTTGGAGAGCTGGCCTGTTCTACCCTGTGAGGACAGAGTGAGAAGGTGCCATCAGTGAACCAGGCACCAAGCCCTTACCAGATGTCTGCTGGTGCCTTTATCTTGGACTTGTCAGTCCTCAAAGCTGGGAGAAATAAACGTCTATTGTTTACAAACCACCAGTTTATGGTATTTTGCTCTAGCAGCCCGAACAGGCTAGGAAAACCTAGGAGTTCTCAGTCCTGGAAAACCTAATATTTCTTTTTAGAAGAAACATTTTGTAATTCCTTTTTTTTATTACCCTTAAATGAAATTCATAATGAATCCTCTTAAAAACATAATTTTATTTTTATTTCTATCTTTTTTTGAGACAGAGTCTTGCTCTGTTGCCCAGGCTGGAGTACAGTAGTGTGATCTCAGCTCACTGCAACCTCTGCCTCCCGGGTTCAAGTGATTCTGCCTCAGCCTCCCAAGTAGCTGGGATTCTAGGCATGTGCCACTACACCCAGCTAATTTTTTTGTATTTTTAGTAGAGACGGAGTTTTGCCATGTTGGCCAGGCTGGTCTCGAACTCCTGTCCTCAAGTGATATGCCTGCCTCAACCTCCCAAAGTGCTGGGATTACAGATGTGAGCCACCGCGCCTGGCCAAACACATAATTTTAAAAGAATCAGCGTAATACTTTACCGTACTATAAAGGAGAAACTAAAGAAAAATGACATAGCCTATATTTCAAATGTCACTGAGGGGACGTAGCCTCATTAGGACACGTAATGAGCAGTTAGGCCCTGCCCCCGCAGGTATAATTGCTGTGAAGGGGGCAGCCACAAAGGCAGTGAAGCATGCTGACTACTCAAGGGTTCAAGACAGAACCACTGCAGCAGCCCCCTATTGATGGGTGCTGTAAGTTGTTTTCAGTTCTTGCATTTTAAGTGGTGCCTCAAGCGCCATTCCTACTCACCCTTAGGAGCATTGGCTTGAAAAGTGTGCAACAGGAAAAATGCATACAGTTTAAAGAATACACTTTGAGGTTTTCTACTTTCCTCACATTCCCAGCC